AAGAATTCGAAGATACATTCAAAGAAATTAAGCAGGGTTTTGACGGTAAAAGCCCTACTTTAACTCATTCCATCACATAATTTTAAAGGATATATTATGGCCAACAGCTGATCAGTGTCTTGCAAACTGCTGCAAAGTCTCTTATTGACGGCACTGTAGAGTTCCAGTTTCCTGCATTTGCATGAGGAGAATTGGTTGCGATTCACCAACACTAAACATTTTTTCACAGAGGAAGTAAACATATCAGCCTTTCATTGCACCCAGTGGAAGTCATGTTGCTTGGAAACCTTAATGCAACTCAATGTCACAATCAATGACATCACTGCAACTACCAAAGCCGACTCGTGTTTCTGCCTCGCTGTGCAATCCACACACATTCCACAACTTAACACAAAGTTTGACGACATTATAAACTGTCGCCACAAGGAATCAAAATCCGAAATACAGTTTTAGCTAAAGGGGAAACTGCTCATCTCAGTTATTTATCAACCGAGCAATGACCTGCACTTGTGACCTGTGACCTGTGATGTGTGCACGTGTTCTGTACCTGCCAAATTTAGGTTCTTTCTGCAGGTGCCGTCATCACAAAAGAATCAAAGGAACCAAACAATAGAGTTCTCCTGGGGACTTAATTGTTTAGTTGTATTGTTTCTTTTGTTGTGCGTAATCTGTGCCTCGTGCCTCGGTACCCACAGAAGGAACCCAAATTTAATTAATGTTTCACTTTAATTTATACCAGATCTGCTGGACTTACTATAATACTACTATAACACTTGATGATTTAAACCATAAGCTGAATCCTTTAATTACCATTACCAATATTTACTTGCTCATGAGACCATCATTTTCTGCGAAATAACCTTAAATTTAACCTTGAGCTTAAGTTAAGCCTATTAAACATACCTCACAAGACACGTGCTAGATTTTTCACGACTTCTGCCATGCCTCTTGCAAGAATTTTTAGGTCATAAATAAAGCCAAGTGTTGACGAGTAAGTAAAAGAACTGCTGAAGCTTAAATCCGAGTTTCATAAGTCCAATTATGTTACTTTTGATCCAATTTACTACAAACGTGGTCTGTTTTGTCAATAATCCGTCGCCATATTGGTTGCTTTTAGAACCCAGTCTCTCGATTGGTGCGTGTCTCGCGCGCGAACTTTCGCAGTACTCGTTTCGCGTTTCTCGAGTTCTCGTAAAACGAGTCCAATGGAGTCAGGCCCCAGTTTTGTTCAAAAAGTGGATAACGCTATCCATCGGATAAATCTCTATTCACTGGATAGCGCAATTGGTTTCCCTAATGCTTATCCACTCGATAGGGATTTATCCGATGAATAACGCTATCGATCTTTTGAAGAACCGTGGCCAGGAAAATACACGTTCATGGCTTGGTGTACGTTTGCCAATTGCGTTACATTTGTTATAGGAGAACGCAACTGGATACCTTCTGTAATAGGGTTAGTTCCATGGAAAAAATTGCCCCATCGCGTGTGCCACACGCGCACAATTTCGATGATAGCGCAGCGCAAAGAATAAACAAACAAAATAGTGTTGGAAATTACCTTCATAGGAGGTGAATAAATTCTATTTCCTGTATTATTTGAAGGAGAACCTTAAGCAGCGACGTTTTTGAACGACGCAAGTCAACTGGAAGTGGACCTTTTGCACTCTTGAGCCGTGATTTTGAACAAATTTTAAGAGCAAACACATTTACATGTAGCAATAGTAACAAGCAAGCAGCTCTTGTGCCAAGGCATATTAGAAGAGAAAAAGGCTCACTACTTCCTATTGACTCTGAATGTGAGGACTGTGAATGGGACTCCGATTATTGTAATCACGATCCCAGACCTCTCGCGTCTCTGGACATGTGCAGACGTTGTTCAGCTCAGTCGGTAATCACCGGAGTGAGATTGTTATTGTTTTAGATTGGTATGAAGGTCATAGGGGAGTGATTTTGGAATCACAATTAAGGGAAATATCATGACGTTCACCCGAAAAGGTTAGACAACCGGGTGTAACAAGAGTACAAAGCAAGGAAGTGAGTTAGGAGAATTCTCTCTGCTTTGGTTTCATATAAACAAGATGGAAATAAGCCCAGTTTCCACAAAGCGCTTTTCTGTAATGTGTACGCGCATCTCGTTATCCTTATTGCTACTTTCTGAAAAATATTGAAGGGCTTTTCTATCCTCTCCTCCATTATTGCGGCCTGGCACCTGAGGCTGAGCCCACAATAAGCTGCAATACAAGGAAATAAGAGTACTAGATCTGGAGAGGGTGTACATTAAGAAACTTTTGACTGACTATAGTCTTATTTTCTCATAAAACAGGCAAATATTGAGAAAGCACTTTCATTTAATTAATGAGCAATATAAGATGTGTATTTACAGACTGAAGTAATAAAAAATACCAGTAGGTAATGGAAACATCTGACTGAAAACAGGCAAACCAATTTATTCTTCTAACTACCATAGCGACAATTAGCTAGAGGCAATATTATTTCACAGAAACAGACCTTATTCACGATTTCAACCACGATACCCGTCACCTTTCCACGCGCTAATGGACTGATGGGATAACAGCAATGTCACGTGGTATTTCAGGGGTAAACAAAAGAAACAAATTGCCAAAACGAATAAAAGCCGTCGAGTCTCTTTATTCTCTCAAAACAAAACGATGATTTAATAGTGATGCAAAATGCATGGTTCGATTTTCGTCAAGTTTTACGTCATTACTGCTTGCTGTGAGGACATCTACAGCTGCAGGTCACAAGTGCTGGTTAGAGCACCGGTCACCATGCTACGGTAAATAAACATCGCTTAAAGTGTCTCCTAGCCCTTATCACAATTTGAAATAGAGTTTCAGCTTTAGGGGAAAATGCTTATCTCCGTTATTAATCAATAAAGCAGTGTCCTGCAGTTATGACCTGTAACCTGTGTTCTGTACCTGCCACATCTACGGTCGCTACTGCATAACAATGATCATTTCCACCCATAATTTGCCATTATCGTCTTTAAGATGAAAAGTTATAAATTTTCTGCTACATAGAATAAACAAACTCGACCGCGATTTCTTGTATTGGCAGACTTAAACTTGTTTGCCCCCCTGAGAAACCACATGACGTCGATTTAATCCCATCAAACCTTAAGCGCTTGCAAAGATGGCGGGCATCGTGAATAAGGTCTACCAAAAAGGCATGAACGTTTTGAATATAATGTAATTTCATTTTTTAAGTCTATCATTCTAATTAGTCTAATTTCGTATAACTATTCTAATATCTTTTAATGTGATAGTTACTATCCCCTGTCCAACTTAAAGGGGTTGTGTTACGACAGTTTAGTTCATTTTTGACCGCGCAAGGCATCGAAACAACTCGAGACATGCATGGATAGAATTAAAATTAGATGTACACGGTAGTAGTTACAGCAGTATATATCTTAGGGTTAGCTTTAAGAAAAACAGCTGAAGTATGAACAATCGAGCGAATTTTATGTTACCACTGCTAGAAAACATTTATTTATAACTTTTTGTTTTTCCAGAGAGGCGATTAAACTAGCCGTAATGAACTCACTGTTCAACCAGTGTCAATTCCAGTGAAAAACCAAGACGTTTATAAAAAGTATTTTAACGATTTCTATCTAACAATCACAACAATTCTAAACTATGTAAGGAACCAATCAGAATTCACGTGAAATACAGCGTCGAAAAACGCGGGTAAAAAGTGACCAATCCCGATTAGTCCAGAAAGTAATAACGGATTTTCCAGCCAATCGCAGTGCTTCTTTGGCGCGTCAATTAAAAAAAAGAAAAAATAGAATATTTTTCGTCTGGCTGTCCTACCTAGTTCCCAGTGTTCCCTCGCTTGTCTCTCTCTCCCAGCTCTCTCGCGCTCGGAGGACGAGTAGAAGAAAAATCAGGGAACGAGGTTGCTGGCTGTCGTGTAAAGACGAAACTAACTCAACATTCCTAAACCAGTAACAGTACTTGGATGCAATTTAATGAACCGTACTGCATGTTTCAGTGAAATAAAATAAACTCAGTGAAAATTGATACATTACCTGTTGGTTACTTGTTCTAAATGCAAAGCTGGCCATTTCAGTTACATAAAAGTAACATGAAACTTGAATACACGGCACCCTAAAACACTAAACAGCCTATAAGTAAGTAAAGAGTTTAGAAAACAACTTGGTACATTTTCGAATCCAAATCAAACTTTTCTCGCCCTTTCCTTGTGAGAATTTTCGCTCAACGGAAAGATGAGAGTGAAGCAATTTGACTTCGCCAACAGTCCTTGTTTAAATCAAAAGAAAAAGAAAAGTTGTAATTCGGGAGGAAACGTACACTTAGTAAGCGTAAAAAGATTCGCTTAAGGTATTTCATGAGAAGAAATAAGTTACTTTGGAAAACATACGAGGCTTCTACCTGTATGAAAAAACACCACTGAGTACAAAAAGCCAAAAAATCTCCAGATATTAAGGTTAATACCAATTCCTTTCATAAATGACAAAAATATACGCTAAGAGTCGGAAAAGAGATGACTTGAGATATTTAGCGATTCCATCGAGACTTTTTTCACTGTGCCACCAGCTATCGAAAAATATCTTCTCAAATGGATTATAGTCACCAAGTATTTAACGATACTTATGACTAACCTCCTATCAATACCGATTCTTTGCCGAACGATAACCGATAGCCGAATAGGTACACTTTGGAAACCGACGATCACGGTTCATCCCAATGCGATTTATTCCGACAACACTTCGCATCTCCTCTCAAAACCAGGCACCCTATCGACGACCAGTCATCGACAGGAGGCATGCACCGACCGCTGAACGTACAAGCACGGACTTCTTTTCGACTCTTAAGTGACAATTTATTCTTGAAAAAGCCAGCAATGGAAATTTTCCCGCTTTCTTGTTTTTGATATTATTTACAGTGCATACGGAATATAGTGCGACTCACGGAGTACACAATACCAGCAACGCATCCAGTCATAAAGTAAAGTTTCTAGTTTTTCTTTTTGGCTTGTAATCTGTGTTCCTCTTCATGTCTAGCTGTGATATCGTCGAGTCGCTTCGTCCAGTTGTCGTAAAACTCCTGAACTTCTTGCATCAGCGAGTCCATCATGTCCAGATTCCTTTTGGCCATTTCGTACCCAGGCCCTCCGAGAAGTTCGAGTTCATCTGCAATAAGAACAAACCCAAGCTATAGTGTTCTGATGGCATAAATGGAGAAAAAAAAAGGCTTATAAACGAGAAGGAAAAGCGTTTTGAAAGCCTGGAACAACAGGCTACAAGGAAACTAACCCGAGTTTACTTTCGCTAACTCTTCTGAGATCGTAGCAATTGGCCACTCAAGTAACAGTCCCAAATGTCTTTGTGAAAGTTAACTCGGCCCAGTTCCCTCCCCGTGTCTAAAGTGACGAATATCCCTCATGAATGTTTACGTCAAACGAGCAAATCTGACCACCACGCCTCGTTTCGAAAATCTTGCCATAAGTCAAGCTCGTTTTCAGATCTGCGCGCACCTTCGTCACCGCCGTCGCGTTTTCATTAGGGACTTTAAGATGTCACGACGGCGACGATAACGAGACCGTCAAAAAAGCAATAAGTTGAATAGGCAAAACAACAACAATGCACGTGTATCACGCTTTTTTGTACATTTCTTCGCCGTCACTGCACGACTACGACGGGAAAATGCCTGTAATTTCACGTTTTATGGAGGACGTAAACAAGTTACGGCTAAATCTTATTTCTATTTCTGAACTTGAATATGGTTCTTAGGAATTCGGCTCAAAAACAGTTCGCTTACTTTTGACAAAGTATATGAGTTGGAGTAATCGCGATAGAGATTGAAAGAATGCAAATTCACTTTTTAAGCGACGTTTTCGAGGCCGTCGCCATTGTGGTATCTCAAACTCCCTATTTCTTAATCCGTCTAATGTCACTTTTAGAAGTCCAAAAAAACTATTCTAAAGTAAAGCAAAGAAAGTTGTAAGTAAGGGGAAAAAAGAAGGTAAACTTTCCAAAGCTAAGAAGACACGGGATTGATGTTTTCATTGGTCACGTGGGTGTTGTAATCAGTTGGTCTTGAGGTTGACGATGACGTGACTGATTTTCGTGACAGATGGCGCGAAAGATCACGTTGCCATTTTCCTAACTACTTAGATGGTTTATGACGCGTTACTTACGTCACTGATGACGTTAGCATGATGTCATACTATATAAGACCGAATGTTGTCACACTCCAAATGTTATTCCATTTAAGACTTAAAATTACATTTAGGGTTAAATCTTATTGCATTTAGGATTTTTTTTTAAATTTAGGTCAGTTATTACATTTACGTTTTCTACAAATGTTACAAATACGAACTCCCAAGATAGTTGTTTTGAAAAGAATACTCATGCACACAGAGTGAAATGCAAAGAATTTTGTTCACAAACAAGGCTTGGTGGTGAAATTTGCTCGGCTGACGTAAACACACATAAGGGCCATTATAACTTTAAAGCTGACTCGTACCTAGACGTCTCTCTCTCTCCATGCGTGCAAAAGGGCGAAAAGGAGAGAACGGGCCTTGCGTTTCGTCACCGGTCACTCGCGTGTCACACGCGTTTCGCGCTAGCCTCTATGCAAAAAACGAAGCGCCTGAGGAGGAGGTAGACTTGTAAGGTTACGAAAGAAATGACATGGTGATATTGTGGCGCGGGTACTTAAAAAAGGGTGAGTTCACATTAGTGCACATCGAGTACCGTAGTCGGGCATCGTGCCCGGGTATCAAGTAGAAACATGACCTTAGCCTTTCGTCTTACCCATCTCTGCCTTTTTCCTCCAGTGCCTCATGTATCCGTAGTCCCAGATAATGCCACAAGCCGACAAAAACAGCAGCAAGCCAATGCAGGTATAAATGGAGTTCCGGAACAGAGGAGAGTTGGCGTCAAATAAGCCGGATGAGCGCTCAACGGCTGCACTCTCTGCTGGCTCCTACGAAACAATAAGAAAAACGAAATAATACATTGTTTGAAGTCGATGGCATCAGTAGTTTGTCCATTATCGTTCCAAGACCCCGTCGTTTCTTTTGATCACGTGATCTCGATGGCTACAAATTAAGCCGAGTGGCTCTGGGTACGAAACTGTAGTTTGTCTATTCTCGTTCCCAGACACTTTCGTTTCTTTTGGTCACGTGCTATCTTTCTTTATAAATTGAGCTGAGTGGCTCTGGGGACGAGAATGTCGTTTGTCTAGTGAAATCGTTCGTTAAAAGTGATGCTGTTGATAGATGAATAAAGTATCATCAGTTGTTTGTCTTACTGTGATCTTTATGTGAGTGTAGTCGGTTGAAAGGTTTGTGTTGGTGACTAATGTGTAAAGCCAGTAATATCAGTAATATGTCTGGTGTGATCTTCCATGCGGGTTTGGTCCTTTAAAAGACTGTAGTTAGTGATAAATGTGTGAACCCAATCAGTAATTTGCCTTGTGTGATCGTCCATTTGAGTGTACACTCTAAAAAAGACTGGTGTTGGTGAATGATATATGAACTCAATAGTATCAGGGCATAGTTGGTCTAATGTTCTACGCCAGTGTAACCCCTTAAAGGGCTTTCTTTCTGACAGACGTGTGAACGCAATTGTTAATTATCTTTTAGTGTGAAACATCCATGCGAGTGTTGACATTAGCATTTTGTGAAGTCCTTTATCTAATCCTTAAAAGAAGTAAAACGACCATAAAGCGACCCAGCGAGTTTGACTCATTAACCAAAACATAGCGAGTTTAAAAGATGTCCGGAAAAAAACTCACCTCCATTGGCTTGGTTTTCGCTTTTACTTCTTCGAAGATTTCAGCTTGGTTTGAGAGAACGTAGTCCTCGAAGCAGTTCTGAAAGGTCTTTTCTGACAATCGTCCCTCTCCAAATACAACTCCATAGTATGAGTTATGATCGATGATTTTATTTACTCGTAGCTCTTCGCTAGAGAATTCTTTCATTTCTCCAGCGACGTAAGTGTCCACTAGAACACCTTTGAATTGTCTGTCTTTCAGAGGGGCCACAATAGACACCAAGTCATTGTATGCTGCGTGAAAAAAATTAGTTCAATGAAAGATATGTTATTCATCGTAGTTTGACTTTTATTGCTACGGCCCTGTTTACAGGGAGAAAACTTGTCCCGCGGGTAGACGGGTCACTCGCCTACCCGAGCCACAGTGGACGAGCCAACCTTATAAAACGTGGCGAACCGTTTACACGAGAAACAAAAAGTTGGATCTGCTAGAAGGGTGATTTTCCCAGGAGGGTCACTTGCTATTGATGACACATAGGCTCGCCCAGCCGGGTAAACTCGGTCAAGGCGAGACAATCAGAGCATGACCAACGGCTGTTGCCAGCTCTTGGATCGGGTAAAGGGGTCATTTTTTTCTCATATAAACACTCGCTAAAGTTGGCTCGGGTGGGAGGGAGAACCTCTTCCGGTGACAACTTTTCTCCTATATACGGGGCCTTAACCAGGCGGTGGTGTCGATTGGCTAGGCGGGATTAATAGCGGCACCATCAAGCTGTTGCCGGACGAAAATTCTCATCAAGGAAACTGAATCTTGTATGAAAAAAGTACATGATATGACATCCTGCATATTTTTTTCAAAATTTTTGTTGTCCACTGAAGTCCTTCTGACTGCTTCACACTAACTACTTGTAGGTCCTTGGATATCTGTGGCTATTAGTGATTGGTGAATTTGGATCCTCGCTCTCATGCGGCAACATGCAGGTAGTTTTTTTTTTTTCAGTGGTCGACTGTGTTAAGGATAGGCGCGTGTGCCATTCAACGCAAACAAGGGGACGTGTTGCTAGAATATGTATTACGGACATGTACGCCGCCTTTGCTGATGTTACCCAGGTGACTTACGTTAAGGAAAAAGCCTCGTCTAGAGGAAAGTTCGCGCTATCCGAGTGAAGAGAGGAGGCTTGGAACCGAGGGCGATTCGTTTCCCGAGGTGACGTCACAGCCGAAATCGCCGGGGACGATGGGTATGAGGCTGGTTAAGGAATACTAAAATATTAAACCTAATAAAACCGTGTTCGCCGTCAAATTGAACAGTGCGAACGAGTGGTCACCTAGATTGACAGAAATCAAGAAATTTGTCGTGGTGATTGTCATTATTCTTTCGCAAGCGCTCTTCAAACATAACCAAACGTGTTTTGACACTTGCCTTGCATTTTCGCGTTCTTGTTGAGTCCTAATCTGTACTCGGTGGAATTTGCAACTGCTGCAATCTAAAGGAAACAGATAAAAGTTGTTGGTTAAGACTATGACCGTCTGTCTGACTGAACCATTATTTCAGGGTTTTCTTTGCTTCCAATGTGTTTTTAGGGTTTTAAAGTAATACCTCCAAGCGTCGGAAGGCCCTCGCATAGTCTGCTTTCTAGAGCCTAGACAAGATCTGCTATTCGCAGACAATACCTTTGGACCTGAAACTGCGCCTATTTAGAACAACATGTCTTTCCGTTCTACTGAATCACTGCGAAACGTACTTAGATGATCACCAAAGACATGGGTGTGAAACGAAAAGCTTTTGCCACCTCATGTTAAAGGATCATTTTGAACATCAAAAGTTTAGGCAGAGTCATAAATGACTGAATCTACGATCTCACTGGCACTAGCCCTTTGCTATCGACAGTCATCTCACGTCAGCTCAAGTTCCTTGGCTACAGGATGAACCCGCTAACATTTACGCGGTGTATGAGCCCTTCCACGGGAGAAGACACCTAGGGAGAACGCTTTTCCTGTCGTGTCCAGGAATGGATCGACCCCAATAAGCATTTTTTAGAGGATGACATCGTGCGCATTACCTAAGACCGAGCAAGTTGGAGACGAGTTACGATCGACTGCTCTTCCGTCGACCGATAATGATGATGACGAATGTAACACGAAAAAATCACGCTATAGCTCCTTTAAACTCACCTTAGTGCCGTAAAGCTTCACATCAGTACTCAGCGTTATGGCTGTGAGAGACGTGGTAACGACACCCGTAAATATGGACGTGATAACGAGGCCAACTAGTACCCAGATTATTGCAAAAATACGCGCCACGAATCCTCGAGGGGAACGATCACCGTAGCTGCAAGGAGCAAAGGAATAGATGAGTTTCTATCTATATACATTCAATCGAGCGTTTTCACTCAATTTTAGTTTCACTCTACGACACTCCATCATCCAATCCAGTGCCGGTAGGCTAACGTTCTATCTACGGAAGACTCACTTCATCTTTCTAATCAAATCAAATCAAATATTTATTATGTGAAAATACATAAAAGGAAACGTCAGAGGTTATCCCTATCGAGGACGCTCCCTACGTTTGAGAAACGTAACTTAATTATGTAGGATTTCCGGTAGTGGACTAGCATGGATTTGCTTTATGTTACAAAAACCTAACATAATTCGGTAAGTGCCGTGGTTGGTTAGGGTTTTAAGGGTTAGGTCGTTATCGTGTAGACCTCTTTGCGCCGGCACACACTTCAGACATACAAAAACCCTTTTTATTCTTCGTTCAGTGACTGTTTGTACTTACCCAACGGTTGTCATGGTAACAAATGCCCACCAAAAACCTTCTCCACTCCCCTTAATGAACGACCTGGGAAATTCGTCAGGATTGTACCACGTGTCCTAAAACATAACGCGTTATGGTGATTTTACAGCACTTTACCCGTACTAGAGCCACCGTTTGTTGCTTTATCTTTATTGGGTGTCTCCGTAACGAAGCGATCTATTGAAACTTGATAATTACGAAGTTACTTAAAAGGATTAAAGAGTTTTTGTAATGAGAAGCTATCCGTTCCTGATATTAACTGCGTGTCCAGTTTAAAAACGTGGGACCCGTTTTGCAACACTGCTACAGAACAAGTTGAAAAACGATGTTGCGCGTTTTACCACCCATGTTCAAACCGGTTAACCGTTTAAACCCTAAGATCAAAATTTGAATTCTCATTTGTTGCCCCTATTCATTTCCTACAGAAGTAGTGGGGAGAAGTTGATAAAATATCAAGCAAATTCATCGTGTGTGATCATGTTCGTAATTCTCATAACCACTCTGTTTTACAAAGCATTGATATTATAAGGAGAAATTTGATGATGATCACTCTTAGGGATTAAAGGGTTAACAACCTGATTTGTTGCAAGACACGTTTGATATGTGTGGTAAGACGCGCAACATCGTTATTCAACTCGTTTTGCATCATTGTTGCGTGACAAGTTGCGTGCTTTTTGCTGCCCGTTTTCCCGTAGCTTTAGTTTGACACGCTGCAAATCCCACCTCTCTTACTAGTTACTCAGCCAGCGGGGATTTTAGGGAAAGGACCTTCGAAGGCCTCTGTTAGCCGAGAGCTACAGGAAACTAGTATCAGGGGGATACTGTGCAGTCCCCAGGGATAGCTTATTCCAGTCTCCAAGATAATAATGTAGAGTCGCGCAGTAGAAAGTGATGCAAAAAACGGGCGAGGGATGGGGAGAGACAGAGCAGTCCCATCCCCAGATCGCTCGCGTCTTATTTGCGCTTGGATTGTTTTATTCTCGCCACGTCCCTACTATCTGAGAGCCTGGCACAGGCTACCCAAAAAATACTCGTTCACTACTTACCAGTCCCCACATGATGATACCGGACAGTAACGCCATCAGTAACGTAAGTACCAACACAGGCCACCCAGAAAGAACAGAGTTGAACACAGCGTTCGCTGAGGTGCCGGGTGGTTCATCAACAACAATGAATGCGACGCCGGGAGATCCTATCAGAGGCATGAACTTGTAGGAAGTCTGATATCTGCGATCGGCTTTTTTCCCACTGATTGGAAACGTGATGGTGTCAGGTTGATCCAGGTTTTGACTGGCTTTGATGTCTACCTGTTTTAAACGTAACAGGAGAAAATGTCTAAGAGTACGAACAAGAAAGGAATGCCGGCCTTTTACAGTTTGGTAAGAGTGTGAAAAAACGACACAATAACAAGCTAGCAAAAAAGGATTGCAGATTCCTTCCAATTAGAAGTTAAACCTAGAGGGTCTTTACATGGAGGAAGGGAAGGAAGATCCTAGCGCCAGGAGGATCCCAGAACGCGGATCATCCTAGCGCTTTTGTCTTTTTTTCACATACATACATGCAATACATGCAATACAAGCAAAGGTTGTAACTGTCCCTAGCACTAGGAACGTCTTGGTACTACGATGACTAGGATATTCCTAGCTGAGAGGTAGGAAGATCCTAGCACCATGCAAACTGCTTTCGCTGGGAAGATCGGGGGAGGGGTAGGCGGGCAGTTTCCCAGAAACGTATAACGATCCAGAAGATCCTAGTACTAAGCACAAACCAAACATCAGTGGCGGCGAATCGTGCGTAAACGTAAACTATGAGCTAGGTTCTACTTTATACATTTAAGCGCGAACTTTCATTCGTTGCCTCTATTTTATTTATGCATGCAAAATTTACTTGCATACGCTCGTAAAACTACGCAACAGTGTAAATCCACCTTAGAAGAGACCTAAGAACTGTAAAGTCCCCTGTATCTGTTAAGTGTTTTTTAAAAATATCTTTACCAGTGTTTCTTGACGCTTGGAATAAGAGATCTCAGACTCCCCGTCACCGCCTGTGCAATTTCCACAGCATTGTTTAACAATTTTCCCGAGTAAAAACGGGAACAGTCCCGAGGGATCTCTCCCGGGATGGTGCTCTACATAGGGTGGGATATTGTACCAGTTGGCTTGAATTATTTTTGGACACTTGCACTTTTCTGAAAGCCAAACAAAGTTACAAAATTAGCTTTTAGCATGACATTTTAGCACACACACACCTAACTTATTTAAGCGTCAGCGCCGTTGAGCACGTAAGAATTAATTACTTATTTGATGTCTCTTATTACTGATGAGACCAGTCGCCGCATGTAAGGGAATTCGAATTTCGGAATCCCGGAAAATTTTGTTTATGGAATCCGGAATCCTGGGCTTTGTAATCCGGAAAACAGCTCAAGGAATCCGGATCCCACAAACGATTGGAATCCAGAATCCAAGTTCCACTGACAAAGACTGGAATCCGGTAAATTAAGCACTGAAGTACACGTACCAACTCCGCGGTCAGTGGTATGGCCAGTACCTTACGCATGCGCACAACCATATCACCCCGGCAGTGGTAGCTATGAACAGCTGTTTCGCCCCTATTGGGGCTCGTCAGCATGGAATAGCCGTTGGGTAAATGAGCGGGGAAACCCGCGTATCAAAGACCCTTTACTGTACTGGAATCCGGCACCTTGAATCAGGAATCGAAGGGGTGGAAACCCGAGTTCATTTCTACTTGATCATTTGAGCTACGAAAAGGTCTGTCCGTTTGAGTAATGGGTAAAGGCAGTTATTACTGAGTTTGGCACAGAATTTACCTAAAAATCATCGTGGCAAGGCCCCTTTAGACTAGAATTGCCAGCCGCGACTTGTGCGCAATCCCATGATGCAAATAGGCGCAGCGGTGTGATGGGAATTGCCAACGGGTTCGAATCCCGGAGTCGTCGTCACATGTGGGTTGAGATTCCTGTTAGTTATCTCCCTTGCTCCGGGAGGTTTTTCTCAGGGTTTTCCGGATTTCCATTCTCATTAGAAGCAACACTACAGAATTCCAGTTCAGTTTGCAGCGGAAGAAGGTACAACCGTAGCTTAAAAGCCCTTTTCTAGATTTCTCGAAGCAAACAAAGACATTAACATTTGTTTTTCCATCCCGCCCTTGATGTTGGCCACAAGCACTTGCCGCGACTGCTTTGACTTTAAGTCGTCTTTCCTCAACTCTTACAGTTTATCAACACTGGAAAAAACTAAGGCCAAACGTCGAACTTTCATGAGACGAACCAAATTGTAATTATATTTGGGTCGACCTAAATTAATTTAAACTCGTCTTTTGGGTCAGACGTCGAACTAATGAAGCGTCGAACCAGTCATACTTCATCATTTGAAGCAGACAGGGTTAGAAGTCGAAATTTTTATGGACTTAATCCGCCCAGTTTGGTTCGTCCCATGAAAAGTTCGACGTTTGGCACTGGCCTAAGAAGAGCCACTGCGTTCAACGTCCTTTTCCGCCTACCTTTAACGCGCAAATACATCACTGCAGAGTCAAATCCTTTCGAGTTGTTTGCGTAACACATATAGTATCCTGTATCACTTCTCTTGAGTGGTTTTATCTTTAGCATTCCATTGCGAGAGTCGGACATACGGTCCTCTGCGAGTGTTCCGTTGGTATTTAAAGAGTTTGCCCCCAAGTAGGTCCATTTCACCTCTCCCTCAGGATACGCCTCGACTTCACACCAGAGGTGCAATTCGTCTTCTTCTGTTGCTTCCTTTTTGGTTGAGCAGTTTATATTGGTGCTGTTTTCACAGAAAGACTTTATAAATGGTTTTCCTGTAACGGATAATGACAAGACAAAAAGCAGTATGATTTGTTTTATGAATTCAGTGATGAACATCAAAGGGAAGAGAACTTGCAAAAGTGAATGAATGAATGAATGAATGAATGAATGAATGAATGAATGAATGAATGAATGAATGAATGAATGAATGAATGAATGAATGAATGAATGAATGAATGAATGAATGAATGAATGAATGAATGAATGAATGACTAGTTGATTGACTTACTGGCTGACTGATTGGCTATTGAGAGACAGACAGACTAACTGACTTATATATAGCGAAGGAGGAAGGAATGGATGGATGGATGGATGGATGGATACGGCATGGATGACTTCTGACGACTTCCGACGACTTCCGACGCGCAAGAGATGGAATATTCCCATGTATTCGAAAGATTTCCTCCTTTTGAGTGCACTGAAGTCACAAAAGTAGTCTCAACCTTTTTAAAACGCCTATGGTTAATCTAGCCCGTAATGTTAAGACGGCCGAGCGCGCGTTACTACGAAGATCTGGGTAGTGCTTCTGACTGGCCATGCCTTGCTTCAGCCAATCTGAAACATGACACAGATCTGGTAAGTGACACGTCAACAGTATGGAAATCATGCAGTCGTTCCTCTGACGTCATTTCGTGGGAAAACCAGTGGTGAAGTAGCGAAAAGTACGCTTTTTTCTCAGGCTTGCGTAAAAAGGGCTATAGAGAGAAGGAGTGCTCACTATTTTCCCGGATTATCTTGTACGTTGCGTTAAATCCTCTTCCCGTGATTGAATCGTCAGATTTGAACTCTACACGCATGTTGTTGCAACGTGAAATGACACTAAACCTCTTCAAATTACCACAGTAGCCATCGCCAATATAACCTTCAGGCTGCAGATTCTTCGACCAAACTTTTGTCCCGTTACACTTGTCTGACAACTTGACTACATCATACGGTGCACAAGTCTTACTCAGCTCGAGATCAAAGTCGTGGAAGGTGACGCTTATCTTGGCGTTGAACGGTCCGTATATCACCCAGCTATGAAAGGAAGGAAAAGGCAGAGAGAATGACAACGAAAAGCATAGGATATCGTAAAAATGATTGTAGTAATAGGCCAAGCTCGATGTATCAAAATTCTGACATTGGGGGTTGAGGCTTAACGGACAAAATTGCGAAATATAGAAATATGACAGAAAACCTCGCAGTCATGTTCGAATTTTAATATATCGAACGTGGGCTATTGGAAGATTTGAAAGAGAATGGCATTTAGTTATCAGCCACAAATTTGCTACTAAAAGGTACAAAACAGAAATAGAAAAAGAATGTATTCATTTGAAACCATGGACGACTTTTGAGTGTGTTTAAATGCTAAGTATTTGTGGCATTAGCCAAAGCATTACCCATTGAATGTACACTTTCAGACGACCATGGACGTAACCTGTGCCAGGCTCTTAGCGATAGTAGGGACGTCGCGAAAATACACCGAGCGCGATCCGGGGAAAGGGGTGATGGCAGGAAAAAATAGGAGAGAACCGCCCTCTCTCTCCCCAGCCCCCACACGTAAGGCTTTGTCACAGTCACGAGTAGTCCCTCCCCCACGAACAGGATGGGTAGGAACGCGTTTCGAAGCCCTAAGAACGTCTGCATGGGAGACCAAGGCGTCTGTAGTATGTAGTATCTCTGTCAGAGAGGTGTCCATTTTATGGTGGTTTCTGCGAGGAGAAGTTCACAGTTTGCGTGTGAGATTGGGTCGTTTTAGTGTCGATTTGCCCTATCATGGGACTGTTTTGGTAAACCAATTTTGACACAGTTTCCTTCGTAACTTCGCAATAGATCCAGCTAGTCTCACGCGCAAGCAAAAACTAACAATATTGAGGCTTCCCAAAATGTCTTTCGCGATCTCTTATTTGAAGCTCGGGATCCGGGATTTCCCTTACTTGAAACTCGGGATTCGGGATTTCGATTATTTGAAGCTCGGGATTCGGGATTACCCTTATTTGAAACTCGGGATCCTGGATTTCCCTCACTTGAAGCTCGGGGCTCGGGATTTCCCTTATTTAAGGCTCGGATTCAGGATTTTATTGCAAAATGAGGGCGAGATTTGGGATTGAAAGCATACACAGGGAGGTTGAGGTCTATCGTATCACAGGGTTGTTGGCTTCAAGTAGCAAGGGGCCGATTTAAATTGTTCATTTTCTTCATTTTCCTCGCTGGCTATGCAATTACGATAGATTTTCGACGCAAATTGACTCAAAATTTTGCCCATTATCGCAGACAAGTGTCTTAGGAGCCTTTAGAGGAGCGTCCGCATGCGCAGTGGATTCCAATACCTAAGAAAAAATGGAAACCTATCGATGCCAGAAAATTTGGTTATGACGTCAGCGTACGCCCGCTGTACACTCTCTGGGGGTAGGGGTGAAAAAAACTCAGTAGGGTAAGGAAGGTAGTCCCAGACATTCGTTTCACCTGAGACTGGGTGGGTTCTGTCGAATTGCACCATGGTACTTTTTTTGAGGATACTGTCCCATTTTTATTGGCTATTACGACGTTGCCAGGGAAACTGCGTCAAAATTCAACTTCAAAACAGTCCCATTGTGCAATTCGGTACAACATTGACGCAGTCTCACGCGAAGCCTCTAAATGGCCAATATTCATGACAGCTTAGCATACCTGCACGACGTGTCATTAGGATAGCCTTGATATCCTCCCGGACTTGTAAAATTGCCTTCGTCTCCCGACAGTGTAACATATTGTGTACAGTCTATAAATATAACACGATAACCAACTCAGTTCATAAGAAACCAAGACGCACGGACTGAAAAAAGGTCTTCTCGTGTATACACCAAGCTTAAAATCAACTATTACTCTTCTTACATTGGTCGTGAGCATGAAATGTGCACTGGCAAAAACTTATTAACGACCAGGACCTTTACTGGAGCCTCCCAAGAGCCAGTGAAACAATTCATGCGAGAAGATTAAGCGGATAAGCTGGCCATTGAGCTCGTCACAATGAACAGACTACTTCAAAAGTGTTGCCTTGGGAACAAGGTTTGAGCCAGAAGGGTGTCCAGCCGTCCTATGGACGCCCATTTTTGGAAGAAATACAAGAAAAATTCATTTAATCTCTTATCACGTTAAGCGAAAACATGCCTTCCGGACGGACAGTTTTCAATGTCTGGCTAAAAGTCGTTTGGGCACCTCAACATGGCCACCCAAATCGAGGTAGACCAAGAACTACATACATCGACACCATCAAGGCTGACTCCGGACTCGACAATACAAAAGAAATAAGAGTTGTCATGCTCGATAAGGTTGTGTGGAAAGATTTTGTCAGGATGGCTCAGGATGATTCCCGGCCTGAAAAAGCGCATAAGCATATATCGACATTCCAGTCCTAGAGGTATGCAGGACGTTTGTTGCATAAACCTGGTTTAGTGTCCTTAACTCGCAGAAGTCCTACATTCTCACTTACTTCTCACTTAGGGCAAAATGTTAGCTTAGGAGAGGGGTAGGTGGGCAGTTTCCCGAAACCTAAATTGATTCGAATAGGTTATTATCTACTTTTTAACATGCAAATACATCATACTCAGATTTTAAATTTTTCTGGATTTGAAACCGTTTAAAAATTTATATCTACAAGTTTTAAAAAAGAATTACCTAGATAATCCCCTTATTTTACTTCAGACGGGCAAACAAGGTGATAATCAAGCCTCTAAAATCCATCAAAGTTGATAACAACGTTCCAAAACAGTTCAATCATAGCTTTTCAAAACTTAGTCGCACTCAGTATCGGTAATTTTAAAAAATAAAAGAAACTAACCGTCGAAAAAACTATGAATTTCTAATAAAGCTTTGCCAACGCACTTATTGTGAAATTTTCTTTTTGTTCCATGTGGCTAGCAACAGCAAGAGAGGTACACCCTGTAACTTCCTGTTATCCTTCCATTCTTGAAAACAGCTATTGAAATCTGCACGAGCTTTAAAACAGGTCACTGGTTAGGGTGCGTTATTAAAGATATCTTTTTTACAAAAAGTTAAAGGATTCTTGCTTTATTCCACTCTTACGACTTGGGAAAATTTCTTGTTGAAAGTAAACACAGTTCTAAGCTGCTGTTAATATATGGTTATTTTAGCAAAATAATAGCAGTGGGCTTTTAGAGACGCCGAGTTTGTTATTTTGAGTTCGAGGATCGGAGGAAACCCCTATGACCTATTGAGAACTTTCGCGCTATGTAGTTTCAGCTGTACTTTGCTACACTAAAGTTTCTATCCAAAAGAGTCACTTTAAACTAAAGAGTTTGACCGTTCGAGAGAAGCTGATGATGAACAAAATGAGTCCCTGTGGTTTGTTTTTTCTGATAATGATGTTTCTGACTGACATTATACTGAAAGTTCGACCATCTAAAGAACAGTGGATTACGGATTGTCCCAACCTGCGATAAGGCGTTTTTTTTTTTTCGAAGGACCGCCTGACCGAAGGTTAGGATTTTCCAAACCGTCGGAAGAAAAGGAAATTCGTTCGGGTTATTGAGAGGTTAAAAAAATGAGAGTAAACTTGCAGAGCTTGATTGAGGAAGAGAGTTATCGCGAGGTTCGAAAATCAAACTTCATACAGGGCACCACTACTGACATCACATTTTGTTAAACCGTTCAACTGAAAGTTGCTGAATTGACTTTTACAGCAGGTTCCGACTTACTGTGGGGTAAAGCGAATACCAGAAAACGCTTTTCAGTTGACGTAGTAGGCAACCCGCACTGACATCTGTCAATCCCCACGTCGCAATTACGCGGGGCAAGGATAATTAAGGGAAAGTTCTAGTTTCGATCTAGTTAGAACAAGACAAACTTCTTTCAATCATTTCTTTGGCACGGAAAAAGGGGAAAATACGGCCGATATCCGTTTATGTTGTGACACTGAGTTCCAAGATAACATCTAGGAATCATTAGACCGCTTTTTAAGGGATTATTTCTTCGCTTGTCGAGTTAAAATGAGGAGATATTCACGACAAAAGAGGAACCACTTCTGGCGTATATTGGACTCTCTCACCTGTTCTTAATATCAACCAATCAGAGGCTTTTCACCAATTAAAACTGTTACTAGTAACGGCATTTTCAATGGCTTGTTGTTCCTAACAGGAAAGATATTTCATAAACGTTTCCCATGTTTTAATAATCATCTCAGACATTTTTTACAAGCTTTCTCGGTCCTCTGTTTCAGAAGGTCACCTCCAAAATAGAAAACCTATTGTAATCTACGCTTTGTGTGTTTCAAGTTAATTTAAAGTCAGTATAAAATTCCTGTTTCACTCCATTACAAACCCAAATTAATATTACATGTTGCTTAAAATGTGAAATTTATGCTATCCACTTTTCGGAGGTAACTCTCCGTATCATTGAGAGAATGTATATTTTTCTAGGGTATTTGCTGTCTTGTTCCTGTAATTATATCGATCAGGGAGTTTATGTGCATCTGACAGCAAAAACTGGTATTAATTAACACACTTTCCATAGAATATTCCAGTGAAAATAATGAATTCTTTGCTCTCCAAAGGAATTCTTTTTTTTTTTAAAAAATAAATGAACGAAAAGGCTATAACTCTCGGAGAGGGAGGTGATATAGCCTGTATATTCTCATTAATATAACGTAGGTCTGTAACATAACGTTAACGCAGAAAATCATGGCTTTCCGATTATGTACCGTACATGAATGCGCTATTCTGCTCGCATTTGTAACCATAGTACGTAAACCAGTTAACTGAAGGCATCGGTAAGAAACTTAATTTTAGGGTAAACGGTGTATTCGAGCAATTATTTCCAAAAGTAGAAACAAAATGGAAAACGAAATTAGATGGAAGTGCTTGCAGGTGTAATCTCTTTTCACTCCCGTGTAATAACAAACTCAAATACGTAGGGAAAAAGGATTTTAAAACGTTACTTTTTGATGTCTGGATGTATTCCGCCTCTGTCCTTAAACAAATCACCAGCAACAGTTTCGAGAACTGCAAAAAGAACAGAGAAAGTTTAGTTAGTTAGCTAGCTTAGCAGCGGTTATTCGCCAACTCGCTGATAGCTTTATTAATGAAGGCGCTCAAAACATGCAACGTACCAAGACAATTTTAAGAATGCCGAAGCTGCTTCTACATCGCATGATCGGTTCTTGATGAAAAATGTTTAGATTTTGAAAAGTGGAATTCTCTTGCTTATGCAATATATCCAGGTTAGAGAAACCCCTTATGTTTTTCAACACTATTCGCATTTCGCTCTTGAGCGATGAAAATGCAAATTTGCGAGGCATGAATAATTGAAGATTTCTCGACTGGATATCCTTCTCACCAGCCAATCACAGCGCGGTAAAATCAAGCAGCAAGTAAAACGTTGTCGATTTTGTTCGAATTTGAATAGATGGTCGTCAAGGAAAAAAAAATTGTGGTCTCGCGCGTGTGAGGGAAGTCAGGAAACCATTTCCGAAACGAAGGTTGTTTAACTCGCCGATTATACCAGGCGAAGCTCTATTATATTTCAAAGGAAGGACATAAAAAATTAGTAAATAAAAATGATAGCACAACTGAAGTTCACGTATATATAATAAACATGCAAGTATATAAACACATAAGCAATACATGTAAGAGCGTTTCGAACCACAATTGACCAGACTGTGGGGCCCTAAACTGACGAGATCATGACTGTATTTAACGAGTTCGATAACCTTAAAATCCCTGAAGGCCCAATTGCCTTTATGAAAAATAAAATTGGGTTATAAGCTCTTGGAATCATGTAACGCTCCCACTATATTTTCCTTTATTTTGTTATTATAAGTTCTTATTGTTAAACGGAACCCTGAAAGTACAACTGCAACAAGAATTAGAACCCTCACAAAACGAAGACTTCCACGGATCGGCCTTAATTTCGTTTACACGGGACCCGAGGAACCGTGCAAAAGTTTAAATTTTTCAAGTTGTGTAATTCAATCGCGAAAAAATTGCTAAAAATAGAAGTTTTTAGTGCCATCTCTTGTTTGATTCATTTTTCTTTTATACGGCTCTTTCAAGCACAAAATACTTGCTGATATTTTTTTTTCATATTTATGACACGAATACTGTGACACTATTTAAGCCACATAATCGAAAACCTCAACTGGGACATGATATGACTGTGGCTGATTTGATACTTTAAGGGCCTGTTTACATGGAGTGGGGGACCCCGGTCTAGTGGGGTTGGTTTCTTTTGTTTTCACGCTCTGGGGGACACAAAACAAAAGAAACCTACCCCACTAGACCGGGGTCCCCCACTCCATGTAAACAGGGTCTAAGACAAGCCTAAGTATCATGCGTTCCAGGGCCAACGTAGCCTTCCACGCAGGGGTTTATAGGGGAGCTCGTTTTTCGTCCCTCCCGAAATACACACGACAACGACTGTCTAGTTTACTTTTCCTGAAATTCAATAAAATAAAGAAAATAAATGTCAAATTTCACAAGAATGGTGATTATACAGGTCAAATTCTATAACATTTCATGCGTAAGATGACATTTGGTGAAATTTGACATTCATTTTCTCGGGTTCCCATGAGAAATTTTTTTTGGTGTTACGATAGATCATGATTTATTACATCTTCAGCCCTTGAAAAATGTAAGAAAGAATGTAATATGCTTTAAATTATTCTGTTACAAGATTTTTGTCCATTGAACATCAAAATTACTCAATGTCCTGGTGGATTCCGTCTTAAGCTTCTTAAACGTTGATGTCTTTGTTTAGCTCCTACCAAAGAGAAATGAACGCCACTTCTTAAACGAACAAAAGGAATATTCTTTGTTAAATAGAGGGAAGGTCGTGTCAAACAAAAGCTGTTGCATTTAGCTCATAATTAATCGAAAATTACCATTTTCTTCATAAATAGTTGCAACAGATGACGCGCATGTAAATAGCTTTAATTCAGTTACTAATTAGAGTAAAACAAAAATATCTTTACTCCAGCTCAAGTAACTTATGTAACGTTCAAACGTAAACTTTGAATTTTTTTTGTTGGGATCGAAGCAATAGCTCATCATCTCTATGTAAAAGATTTAAAATTGTTCTGTAACATTTCGCACTTTTTAGTGACGCTACCCTGAGCTTATTATTTTCAAAGTGAAAACAAAATAATGACTGCAAATGGCTGACAGAAAATCATTCCAGTTTTGAGTTTTGAGCTCACCGGGAAACCTGTAAAGTTTACGGGAATTGCCCAGATCACTCCTCAGTAGTTTTACTTTTTGTTGCATCTTGTGCACTATTCTAAACACTCGTGCACGACTGTAATCTAGTTCGTTTGTTTTGGTATTTTTTTTAGGCAAAGGCAAAATTAAACAAAAAGCGGTCTTAAAGACTATTGGTTTGGAGCCTTGATATAATGAACATCGATATAACGGAGTCCTCGGTATAAAGAAAGATTTTCTTTACTCTAGTAATGGTAAAATATATGAAAAAGAACCTCGACCTAACGAAACCTCTTTATAGCGAGCAAATTTTCCCAATCCCTTGGCCCTTTGTTACAAAGAGATTCCACTAAATTGAAGTTCATTTCATGGTGCACGTACTAAAATCATCATGCAAGTGGTTTATGAGCCAGGAAGTGACGCTCTGTTGACAACGTTGGTTTTTGGATAATCCGGCTAATGATGTAAACTTCTTATGTTTTATGCCTTACCTTTTATTTGAAACGTAACAATCCGGCCAAATTACTTCTTTGTCTCCACCTTAGAATAAGTCACTGGGCCGTTTATCGAAACGAAGTCTAAGGATAACGCCAAACGTCGAACTTTTCATAAAACGAACCAAACTCTGATTTGGGTAGACCTGACTTAAGTTAAGATCGTCTGTTGGGTCAGTCGTCGAAATAGGGACGCGTCGAACCAATCAACTGAAGGCCTACTCTGGGACCTTAAGTCGCCGTAATTTTAGGCGACTTAAGGCGATTTAAGGCGACTTTAGGAAAATTTGGTCAAAATGTTGCACGACTTAAGGCGATTTAAGGCGACTTTAGGCGATTTAAGGTGACTTTAGGCGACTAAAGGAGAAAAAGGTGACATTTAGGTGAGTTACATGTTAGTGTCAATATGTTGCAGTTAATTTTTAATTTCAGTCAATTTTTGGTTTCCCTTTGTTTTAAATTCATTAGCATACATAACCATACCCAGAAACGATGGAAAAATAAAAATTAACTGAAATAAAAATGAACTACAACATATACAAAATCAAAATCTGATAACACTACCTCTCTAGGGACACAATGTTGTAGCATAAGTTAATTCAGTCTTGAAGACATCTACATTAGTCTTCCAAATTTTCAACAATCTCAGCTACCTAATATTTTGAACATTAAATATCAAGGTAGCTTGTGTTGCAGGTGTATTCTAACCGTGGTTAGTAACATTCGTGAAGCAGCTCTAATATCCTTGTTCTGGGCCCTGATGCACTAAATGAATTACCAGCATTTTGAGTTCCCCTTCAACATGATTGGCAAATGGACAATGGCATTTTTAACAGTCCAGTCCTGGCATGTTCTCTAATCCTGATACACACACAGGGGGCCCAGAACTAGGATTTTGCCACTGTTTTGCAGATGGACTTAACCCAGAGTTTAGTTCCATCTGTGGCACAGGCTAATATCAAGGGTGTTGGTTTAGTATTACATTAGCAGAGACAAAATCTGAGTTAGAAGCAACCAAAAGGGTAAATTTTCTCTTGGTCTTTAAATGCATTATTTCATAATATAAGGGACAAAAAATCAATGGTTCCTGCATTTCTTTTTCCAAAAAATAAAACCATAAAAGTAGAGTATTTCAATACATCTCTGTAACATACTGTGAGCTGGTTTGTAGCAAAAACTTTATATTGAAGTGTCTTTTTTTCATAATTTGACAACAAACATTTAAGTAATTAATTTAAAACATCTAAAATCACTTATCGATATCGCACATTATGGAAATGACGATCCCCATTGTATGTCTTGGCAGTTGCTCTGCCAATGTTTGTCCCCACACGCTTGGCTAAGAGGATGTTTTTCCAATTGAATTCAAAACAAAAAGTTTGTAGTTCTCGCCGTATATATATTGCTCCTTTCCTGTCTCAGTCAAACAAAACACTTCCAAATACTTGCTTCGCTAGTGAACCGTACTCTCTTATCCATGGTCTCTCTGGAAACTTTCCAGTCGGGTTGATTTCATGAGTGCATTTATGCACCAGCAGAAACGTAAACAACTAAGCTTAGCTTCAACCAACCTCTCTCGGTCTGTTCCACGCGGCAGCGTTTACGCTCTCAGCACAAAAGGAAGCATTATGCGTCATGTTTAAACCGATGGCAGTACCAAGTGTAAACGTTTCCATTATTATGTCAGAAATTTCCATTTAAAAGGAGATCTTTATACGAAAACGCGAGGTACAACATTCTATCCGCCATTTTGCTTCTCCCAGAATTCCACTGCAGTCGCAAGCTAATTTCCATGGTTTCTCGGTCCCGCCCTCTCCCCGCCTCCAGACCAGTTAGTCACGTGATCAAAACACACTACTTTCTGGGCGGCCATAACGTAGAGGAAAGAACAGTATTATTTCGCTTTTCTACGTTCTTCATCAATAATGATCGATTACATCAAATCGTTTGGCAGGGAGCAATCACGACAACATAAACAAAGAGCAGTATTACGCACCTTCGATGTACAAAGCTTGAATTTCTGTCTGGAAGGGAAGACCTAAAGAGACGACTGTACAAGCTAAGCTAAGTGTTCAAGTTTATAAGAGTGATTGTGTTTCTGTCAATGATAGATGGATATAATTCGACGGTAAATACAGATCAGAGGTTGTGTGCCGGAGAAAAAACTTATCATTAGTTGCTCTTAAAATCTGGGTCGGTAATTTACATGGACACTTTTTTCGATTGACCTTTAGACTTGTATTAACTACCAGAAAATTTAGATTAATGTTGTGGCGGCAATAATTGTTTTTTTCTCTCCCTTCAACCTACCTGTATTGATCTTAGTTACTTGAAATGTCTTTCAATGTTGGACTCTCACAAAGCAGTAGAAAAGAGTTTTAACTATATTTTGTTCAGGGTGCAAAGAAAGTCGGCTTTACAGCTTGCCTAGCATACACTAGCCTGAAAGCCACTTTGACTAA